TAAATGTATTTTTCAATATAACAACACTTGTATACTATCTAATAAACTTTCAAACAGAGTATCTATTTTTGTAATAAGGCAAATTGTTGGATTAAATTGACTGTAGCACAATATGTGATATGATATACATATATCGCTAATTTCAAAATAACATTTATCATACTATCTATCCTATATACATTTTTTTTTGCCAAAGTGTGTATATTTTATATCATTGTACATATAAATTGAATGCTAATTTTAACAAAATTTTATAGTCCACATTTTAACATATTTTCATCTCGATTGTGACTGTTCTTAAGTATGATTAGCATCAAATAGATTTAAAAATAGACATTTATTCAATTTCAACATTTTTATAGGCTTTTATATATTATAATTATGTAACAGTTTGAGTTCTTGTTATTGTCCTTGAAAATATGGGATAGAGATAAAAGTAACACCTGCATTTTCTAAAATAGGACTTGTTTATAATCAGCATTTTTTTTTTATAAATTATAAAAGGATTTAGGTAATTTTGCAGTAACTTTTTCATATCCATTTGTATTTCCTAATGTAAGGTCTAGCTAGCTCTTACAAATGGTATGAGATTTCAGATTAGTGATTGCAAGTTACATTGTAATTATGATATTATCTGTACATCTATGGTACTATTAGTGTACAATGTAAGAATGAATTCAAACAAATCCAAACTTGCTGATAAATATTATTTGTCATAGAGAACAGAATTGCCGTGTTTTAAATTAAATTGTAATTGTATAGTCATAAAGATGTGAATTTTTTTCAAAATATCATTTTAATGTAAATTCTGTTCTTAGATTTATTAAGGGAAGTTACTGTTAATTTTGTACTTAGATGGTTATATTACTTTACCTACCATTATCTCATTTATGGACGGACGGCCCTAAACATGACAATGTAAAAATTACAAAAATCTACCTCAAAGTTGAGGAATCTGTTGATTACATCTCAGCTCTAATTAGTTATGTCGATATTTATTAGTATTTTTAAGTAGTAATATGAAATGACAAATAAAAGCACAACAACAATCTTAATCTAAAACATATGATACAAGTATTACATAATTTTTATACAGAAACTGCTTGTAAAGTGTTATGTTTTGTTATGGTGCATAATTTTATCTATCTAGGATAAAATTCATAAGAACAAAATTGAAAACAAGCAATTCCATAAATAAATAACATCATTAGCAAATTTTTAGGTTAACCACTTGCCACCAACAACAACCCATCTTTTACTGAAGAGAAAAACAAGTACTATTTATCTAAAAAATGTTGCTACAATCACAGAGATTATTGTGAGCTTGTCGAAATATTGATCAGACAGAGTGGCCTTGGGACTGATGTCTTTGTCCCCACTGACTAGAGGGTCCTTGTGCTGAATTACCTTGTTGCATCCAAGACAGGAAGTTTGGTGGTGCTGGAGGTGCCGATGATGCTGGACCAGCAAAGGCACCTTGTTCTGATGCACCTGAAGGGATGTTGTTGATAAGACCCCAACCAGCTGCCTGGTTAAGAGCTGCTGCTACTAAAGCTTGATTTACAGGTAGTCCTCCCATTCCTATAGGCATACTGCCACCTTGTGCTTGTCCTCCACCACCAGCTACAGCTGTTTGTCCATGTTGACCAGACATACCAAGTGCTTGCATATTAACCATATCCATGTTTCGGTTGCTCCAAGAATTATTATTAGACACATTGTGTGGATGACCTTCATCATAACTTCTACTAGGCATGGCACGTTGGTTTGTACCACTTTTGTTTTGCTTTGGAGATGCATTCGAAACATTAACAGAAACACCTTTTATTATATGGTCTTGCCCACATAGACTCTGCGCAACTTCTGGGTCAAGAAATGTTATAAAACTGAATGCCCTAAATGGTTTTGGGATGAACACATCAGTAACTTCTCCAAATTGAGAAAAATACTCTCTCAAGTCATTGGCAGATAATTCTTCAGTACAGCGGCCAACAAAAACTTTACAAGGCATAGATGGTATAGATCCTTCTTTGGAATTTGGTATCCTTACATCACACCACCTCCCATCAATCATGTGCCTTTGAGCAAGAACTCTCATTTGGGATGTATAAGATGCAAATCGAATAAAAGCGAAACCTTTAGACATTCCCGTTTTTGGGTCTCTTTTCAGCTGAGCCATTAATACTTCACCAAATTTTTCAAAATATTCTCGCACTGTCTGCTCTGTGGCTTTCCAAGGGAGTCCCAAAACTATCAGGTCCGAACATAAGGTGTCATTTCTTTTATGTCTCATAATTGTGGACTCGGAATTTTCACCAAGTTTGCGTTTATTTTCTTTAGGAAAACTACATATATACAAATAATTTCCCCATCCTTCTGGAGGAGGATATAGTCGACCATCTCTTAGTCGAATTCCCCTGATGGTTTTCGTTTCAGGGTGTCGATATTTCAATCCGCAGCAACCTGGAAACTGTGCAGACACAGTCGATAGCATCAAAGCTCCATCTTCTTCGATAGGCAGTTCTATGGGTTCTTCATTTTCGTCTTCAGCAACGGGCAAATACTCGAAAGACATTATTTATTCTTCATGAACAATATAGTTAAAAACTGATGAAAATTAACACAATAACTATACTTATTACTAGAAAATTGTATAATTTAACTTCATCTAAAATAAATAAAATTTAATTAAACGTCACCTACGGGTTACGAACCCATTGCAATTTGCAGGTTGAAAACATATGTTAACCAAAAGGTTTTGAACAATAAATTTAGAAAATATCAAAGTGATTTTCAGGGCATGGAAGTATCAATATNCTGATGAAAATTAACACAATAACTATACTTATTACTAGAAAATTGTATAATTTAACTTCATCTAAAATAAATAAAATTTAATTAAACGTCACCTACGGGTTACGAACCCATTGCAATTTGCAGGTTGAAAACATATGTTAACCAAAAGGTTTTGAACAATAAATTTAGAAAATATCAAAGTGATTTTCAGGGCATGGAAGTATCAATATTGAGAAGTTGGAGTATAGTAATAGACAACTTTCTAAAATTGACATTTTACATCACTCACATACTTTGTTTTTTTTTGGTCATAGCAATACAAAAATCTAGACACTGTGCGTCCTACTCGAAGATTGAAAACGAAGTGAAGAGTTGTATTTTAGATTTCACACAAAACACGATGCATTTGTATTGCAGTTGCATTGTTATTATACGCAGACTTTGTTACAACATAAGTCTGTACATGTCCTCTTTGCCTGTCCTAAGTATGATTCAATTTGAAAATAATTTTAAAACAGGGCAAAAAATATTTTAAAAAATACGGAGGTTTGTAACTTCAGACTTCAGGGCAGGATTAGCAGCTTGACCTCTATTTAAATTATATTTAACGACTTAGTATTTCTTTTTGGGGGATTATATCAAAGGTAATGTATTCCACAGAGTCCGATTTTTTTTTAATTACCCGGATAGGCAGACAAGCTTACCTGATGGTGAGTAGAGTTACCGTCGCTCATGGACGTCAACAATGCTAAGGGGAGAGCCAAGCCGCTGCCTACCATTAAATATTCTCCACAAGCTTCGTTTGAAGAAGGACATGTTATAGCGTTCATAGAGGGGAGTTCATTCCAAAGCCGGATGGTACATGGCAAAAAAGATCTCTGGAAGCGCTTTGTGGATGAACACAGTGGTTCTAGGTACTATGAACTATGAACACCACTGGTGGGCGGTGCGATGGTAAACCCGAGATGTTGGAATCATCTGAATTAATTTCTCAGAGCACTCCCCATGGAACATGCGGTACAAAATACAGAGAGAACCGAAGATCCAGAGGTTCAGAACGATCCGTGAAAATGGGATTTCACCAATGCGAACGGGCCAGTTCTATATGGAGTCAAATAGAAGTAGTTGGTCTGAGTGTTGGAGTTCGAAATGTCGGAGGAATTCGCATTCAAATCAGTTAGGTTAGCGCAGCATATGACACCGTAATCTCAAAGATGCCAAATCATTTAGCAAAACAAATTTTTCGCAGAATGAAACTATAAAGTGACAGAGCAGAAAGAGATATCGCAACTTTTTTGTATATTACGAGCGTTCAGTATAATAGTCTTATGAAATGCTGTTTTCTATGTATTGGAAGGGAGTCCAGTAGTAGTGGTAGGTAAAATATGATTATTACGATTTTAATTTTTTTTATGTGGTGTCCTACCTATTTGCTGTTAGCCTATTGAGCTACTCCAGCTAGGCGCGGACGGGTGAGTCACAGGCTCAACCTGACAGAATTTGGTAACTCTAGCTCTAGCAAGAACAGTGCTTCGTAGTATCTATCACCGGATCGAAATCGCGACCCACGCGATTCACGCGCGGAAGATCCTGTGAGAGATTCAATGGGTTGTGTCTATGGGTTAGATCGCTCGTCGAACGGTGTTTGAGAGCCCAAAACACATACAGTCGATCCGGGGGATCCGACAAGGCATAAGATTTCTAAGCAGACTTAGAAAATAGGTTAAAATATACTTTTTTTAATTATTAATCTGGGACGTCATGCTCGTTACCTGTATTTTAATTATGAAGTTTCGTTATGTGTAAACACACCTATTATTATTTATAGAATATCAGCCTTAGGTTTTTGTTTGTTTTCTAGTTTCAAATTAAAAGCAGTTGTTTCAAATTAACAGAATTATATCGATTGGGTTTTATATCCTATTTAATAGCAAAGTATAGTTTGAAATAAATTCACAATACATTTTTTAAACACAGAGCTATTGTGGTTACTGGAATTATACCAAATTCTTTGTTATAATTTGTAAACTTGTTTAAGGTGTGAATTAGTACCACTCACATAAATTGTTTCGATATTGCATAGGCCATAGTTCAATGATATCAGCTTATGAATGATGGAGATTAATTTAATACTTTAAGCCTAATAAATAAGTTACCATAGTAAAAAATTCAATGAGCAAATATACATCAAAGTATGTATTTACCTACCAGTCATTATTAAAGCTTTATTTGAAGACGTTTAACTTTTGAAAACAATAAATATTACTACAAAACGGTCGAAACCGAGGTATTTAAATAAACAAAGACCTAGCGATAAATATCAATCTTTAAGTCAAAATAACTATAACCTCTAAATTACTTGAAAACTCTTAACTCAATAATTTTAATAAAATACATTTAATGCAGGATTATTATTTGGTTTGTATATCCGGAAAGTTTTTACAAAACCAGTGATATGGATGACGAAATTAAAGAAAATAGGAGGAATAAACCACAGCAAAAGTTTTACAAACCTGGTAGTGGGCCTCTAAGACGTTCAAGATATGGTTTGGACTGTAAAATGGATCCTAGCGACGTAAATAATAGTTCCAGAAGATACAATACGCTTTATGGCTCTCACAACTCGGTCAGTGATGATTTAAGTGATGCATATAGTGAAGGATCAATGACCAATGTACGCCAAAATCACAAGAAGTCTGAACAACTGTATGCTTCTAAGCCCGATCATATTTCAGAAAACAATAAATGTCCTACAAAGTTTGATAATTCTAGTCAGTTCAATAGTAGAAGATCAAGCACCACAAACAAACAAAACACAAATACAGGGTATTCTAGAGGCTCACCGAGGCAAGACAGGTCTTACAGAGATTATCAAAGCAGAAATAGTAACAATCCTAATAGTGGTAGAAGCTTTAGACAAAATTCTGAAACTAGATCTGTATCACCAAGTGTTCATGAGCACAATATTACTGGGCGCAATTATGATCGTGACAGTAGAAGTATGGAGACATCTTCTGGCCGTCACGTTCCTGCTTCTGGAGGTAAACCACCATCTGGAAGAAGAAATTCAGCAGGGTATATGTCTGATACATCAAGACCAAAGTATATGATAAACTTAGAAAATTTACCTCCAAGATTACGAAAAAAATTTCTTGAATCATCTGGTCATCATAGTTTTGAAAATGTTGATCAAATTCGCAAGGAGCAGCAAACATCAAACTATTCTTTACAATCTCATAATAATGATCCACTTCATTACAATACAAGCACAAGTTGGTCTCAAACTTTGCCATCACGAGGTAGAGGGCGATTGAAAGATGCTGACAGTTTTGATAGAGAAAAATTTATAAATTCATACTTGAGAAATTATGAAGTACGTACTTCACGACAATCAACTCCAAGTAATTCTTACTTGAACTTGTATGAATCTCCGCAGGATCTTCAAGATTATAAAAACGAAAACCATTATATGATGACCAGTAGTATCGAAAGTCAAAATGATTTCATTAGTAATGGTAATATTATAATATTCTAATTATCATGTCTCTTAAATGATTTTGAAAAACATTTTTATTTTTCACTACAATAAATTCCTATTACCATTTTCATTCCAACACAGTTTCGTTATTTTAAGTAATTATTTGAAAATTAATACATTAAATAATGGAAATCTGATTAAAAATATTTTGCAATTTTACTTCAGCTTCACAAAATGGTACAAGCAATGCATCAGTTGATGGTTCGAATATTCATTATGAGAAGTCAAATCATGAGGAAGATAATGATTGTAACGGTCCAACTATGTCACAAGTGACAAAGCAACTAGATTTGACGAGTTTAGTAAGTATTTGTAAGCTAATTGCTAATAATTCCTACATTTTGAATATCATATAACAGGTATTCAAATAAAATAAAATCCCACAAATTTAAAATCACAATAGGTTAAGAAATTATTCAGTTTTCACATCTTTTATCTTTTTATATAAACATCATGGTGTGAATATCTTTTTTGAGGACATGAAATATTTTGCTGCCTATGATATCAGTCACTCAGTATGTGCAAAGGTGTTTTTAATAGTACCTGTAGACTGAAACAGTTGTAACAGACCAATTTTCATATTTATGTTTGTTGATCTTGACAGTTCGAGAACTTCAGCCCTCTTGGTGTTATGTAATTTTATTTTTATTTTTTATTTGCTAAAATGGGTGGACGAGCTCACAGTCCACCTGGTGTTAAGTGGTGACTAGAGGCCATAGACATCTATAACGTAAATGCGCCACCCACCTTGAGATATAAGTTCTCAGGTATAGTTACAAATTACACACAGTTAATTGAAGCAGTGCTATCAAATTAATTCACAACATTAAAAAAAAAAACTATATAATTAAAAAAATCACTTTTTATAGGATTGGACCGAGGAGGTAGAAAAGAATATAAAATTAGATGATATTTGTGACACATCAAGTAGTTTTTCTGAACAACTGAAAAAGACAAATATTGATGAAGTTAGAACATCGGAACCAAAAGAGTCCAAAAGAAAATCGAAGCGTAAAGACAAGAGGTACTGTTAATTTATAACTTTACATTATAAACAAAAAAAGGGGAATATATCATGGTCATTTTGGTAGAATAATAATAAGCTTGTTTTTGGTAGAAATATATTTTTTAGAACTACATTTGTCTTTACATTTTATATTATGTGCTTTCAGTGCATTATATAGACATGACTGCATGGTTACTACACATGGTCTGAAGATTAAATTTAATGTATGCTAGTAAATGTAAAACAATGTGCTACACAAATGCTGAAATATCAAAAGATCAAATCTTAAATCTCTAAAATTTACTATTTACAGTCATATAGTCTTAAATGAGATCCGATGAAAAGTCTCGTATAAAAAAGTTTTCAGTGTATACTGCTTATCTAAATCGTAGTGCCAATCATATTCATTTAGAAATATCAAAATTAACATGATCTTTTAAGGATTTTGGGTTTAATTGATTTGAAGGAGTTCCAGCAGGAGCATGCGAAATTCTGATAAGAGAGAAAGGGCTAGAAAGGACAGTACTGCCAGCATACACCATGAACTAGAACATTCCAGAAAAGACAGTAATGTGAGCATTCATCATGAAGCAGTACCGGCTTGTTTGAAGCGAAGGGAAAGAGAAAGACGAGACAGCCACAGAAGTAATCGCTCATCAAATATAGGAAATAGCAGAGATGATCTGGACCGCTGGCGTTCTTTGCGTTCTTATAGCAGAGAACAAAGTACTGAAGGGTATGTATGTATAACACAATCCATTGACCATAATTACATAATATGAGAACACAAACAGATCAATAAAAAAAAAGTTTGCTTGCATAAAAAGATTTAACAACAAAGTCTAGGTGGTAATAATATGTTTCTAACAATGTTGTATATAGAATATATTTATTAGAATGTCTTGTAGTGAATAGTAAAAATACCACGACCACCCAATTATTTAATTCAACTATAAGTCATTGATACCTCAAGAATTAGATTCATTTTAAAAAACCTTTTTTATAATTTAATTTGATAACATTAAAGCTTGATGTCAATGATTACAGCATGACGTGAATTCCGTCGCCCACACCGGTCACCGTCCTCCCCGTCGCTTGCGACGAAGGGCTCGACGAGCGAACTAACCCATAGACACACCCCAATGAGTTTCTCGCCGGATCTCCTCACTGGGTCGCGTTTCCGATCCGGTGGTAGATTCTGCGAAGCACTGCTCTTGCTAGGGTCAGTGTTAGCAACTCTCCGGTTGAGCCCCGCGAGCTCACCTACAAACGTTAGGGTGAAGCTGAAATAGCCTCTCAAGGCTATGAGCATAGGTAGGGGAAAAAAAAGCCACCCATTTTGAGAGGGTCGAAATGTCAATGGCATTGTTAAACATATGCCCCCCACCTCAAGCCGGAATGCTTCATGGCAGAAAAATCCAGTATGTTTGTACCTACCGAGGCAGATTGATAATGTGCCCAGTAAATTAAAGTTGGCGATCGCAGTATGTTGTATAATACTCGAATGCTACTATCAATTATATGTTCTATTCCTTAGTCATCTTTTTCAATACCCATGGGAAGAGATATGGTGCTATTCTAAGCCATGCGGCCATAGTGTATTGTATCCAATTATCACGCCCAATGTAGTGTCAATGTTCTTCTGTCAAAACAATATAAGGTTTTTTTCGTATATAAAATTAGTAATATTCATTTCACAATAGATCGCAGCACATGCAATATTTATGTATTATATATAAATAATATTTTCGAAATTGTTTTGTCGAATCAATAAATATAAAAATGAGTACATTATAGCATAAGAGATGTGTTTGCTCGTTAGCGGCGTACCCTCTTCCTACTCTGTGATTTGCAACCTCACTCAAATAGGAAAATATATTTTTTAGGAGAATCGTTTCTCAATGTAACAGCCGAGATACATCAACAAACCGCGCTACGAGTCCTAGAGATGGTGATGGATTCCGCGTACCATGTGCTGTCAGCAAGTCGGCCGCCTGGTTATCCTCTCAAGTGAGTATTACGTTAGGGCTTAATTTCAGCCAGACGACTTTGGTATCTCTGTTCATTTATATATTAATACGTGAAGGAGAAACTTTGTATCCCTTTTTACGAAAATTGCGCGGATGGAGGAGTATGAAATGTCCCACACATCTAGAGAATATAGAGGAGTGTAGAATGCTAATATTTTTTTAAATTATGCCTAAAATATACATTAAATAAATAAATAAATATTATACACACTAGGTACCATGTATTTGACGCACACACGCATGCATACTATATAATTATTGTCAAAGTTTGTTCTTGACGTCTGTGGTCAAATTGAGAATAAATTAAATATTGTTTGTCTTTATTAATATTTTTCTATAGTGTAGTCTTGGCGAAATTTGTGATTATAGAAGTATAATAATAGTCTTTGAAAATAGAATCATAATAGTGTACAAACTTACAATTTCAATTAATTATAATTATAGTCGAATGTCGACTACTGCGGGACCACTAGTAGGAGTAATTACCCACCACATTTATGTTGAAATGTTTGATAGAAATCTATCTTATTATAGCGGAAGAATAGCGTCCCCTGTAACACGCGTACAGGCAGCAGTGAGCGCGGCCGCCGGTCTCCGGGCGGCGGAGAGGGAGGGGCCGGGGAGGCGGGGGGCTCGCGACGTTCGCGCCGCCGTCTACAAAAACGTCACGCGCGGCACGCCGACCCGCCCGCTCCCCCTCCCGTCGCTTCCTCTTCTTCCGCCTCTACCAACTGGAGAGAGGAGATATTAGAGTCCAAGCGACACAATACTCATGAAAAGTCAGTCCCAAGTTTGGTAGTTCGCATTTTTCTTTACAGGCTGTTTTATTACGGTTTTCCTTAAGAAAACAACAGACTATAGAAAACATGATAGGCATTTTGTTGAATTGAAAAGTAATCGACCTAATAATAACTATTCCCGTCACATATTAGTAAAGCTTTCTGTATTTCCATTGAATACAAACAGTTTTAATTTGAATTGCAAACAGGAATTAAAATTCTTTATTTGTTGGCTTATCAGGCACCCAGAACCGACAAACCAAAGGAACAGAATCAACAGTGCTAAACCAGATAAATCGGAATCGTCCACCTCTCATCCTGGTCTAATAATGCTGCCTCAAAGCTCTATATCGAACCTTCAGAAAGAATTAGGGTGCGTAATTAATACTATACATAATTGTGTCTTAATTTAACAAAACTTTTATAACCTTTTAATGTTAATTGTTATTAAATTTCACAGACGCGGAAATACAGGAGAAAATCATAAAACATTATATGACCATCAGAATCCGTCTAAACCGATCATAGTACAAACTAGTCCTTCAAAAGTAGACATGCGTCTTGAAAGATGTAAGTACGTTATAATAATTATTCTGAAGTCCCTATTCCGTTCATTATGGTGATAAATCTGTTGGTGGCAGAGCGTGTTGTGACCCTATTATAGGTTGTTATTAATCAGTGTTCTGACTGATTCTGTTGAGGTAATAATGCGTTCCGGTCGAAAGTACTAACATGATGATGAGAATTTTTCGATTGTATGTACTTATAGACTTTAACCTCACAACATCAGGAGAGCAGTGAGCTTGTTTGCTTGTCTAATATATATTTTTTTATTGCTTAGATGGGTGGACGGGCTCACAGCCCACCTGGTGTGGTGCTGGCGCTCATAGACATCTACAACGTAAATGCGCCACCCACCTTGAGATATAAGTTCGAAGGTCTCAGTATAGTTACAACGGCTGCCCCACCCTTCAAACCGAAACGCATTACTGCTTCACGGCAGAAATAGGCAGCGTGCGGACTCACAGAGGTCCTACCACCAGTAAAAATCAATGTATTGTTGGTATTGTTTTAGTGTACGGTAAATCATACTCTATTGTCCACGGTACAATGATGGTTTTTAGGTATAAAAGAATCTTCGGTGCGTGGAGCGATGTCCTGCGACAACAGCGACGCGGCCCGCGGGGACCGGCACCGCGCGCTGCTGCAGGAGGTGGACCGCGCCGACGCGCTGCTGCAGGCGCACATGCTCAGGGGGCCGGCCGCGCTCGCCGACCATTGGACTGATGTCATCGAAACGAGGTAACTAAAGCTCTACAATATTGATTTCAAATCATACGGTAGTATATAATAATATCGTGAAAGAAAAACGGTATTAAATGCAAAACTATGCATGAATAAAATAGTATCACAATACTGTTTTTATTTATTAACTAGCGACCCGCCCTGGCTTCGCTTCGGAAACATTAAATTTTATTATTGATAGCTTAGTCCCGCGATGTTACCCGCCGTTATTGTCGTACCGCGGGTGACGCCGCGAGGCGAAGCAAGTCTAAAAAAAAGTAGCCTAAGTTACTCTTTATATTATCAGCTACCTATCAGTGAGAGTCCCGTCAAAATCGGTCCAGCCGTTCCAGAGATTAGCCGGAACAAACAGACAGACAGACGGACAGACAAAAGTTGTAAAAAATGTTATTTTGGTGTATTGGTGTACCGTATATATATTCATATGCATGTAGTAAAAAGCGGCTATTTCAATATTAAAAACAGACACACCAATTTTATTTATATGTATAGATATAGCTTAATTAGCTATTATCTAAATCGGTCTTGGAATAATACTAGACATTTTTCAGTTTTCGACTTCACTGTATACAAGGATAACTGATGGTATTGAAAAAATGTATTTTAAATGGTGATATTATTAATATATGTAATGTATGAAAACATTAAATTGTCTTCTTTTTGTTTCAGAACATTTTTGCAAAATGCTCTTCAAAGACTGCTCATGTCCGATCTCAAATACTGTCAGGCGGATAACGTGGAGCATCAGTTTTGGAAAATTTTGTATTATAATTTCATTGAGGCCTTAAGAAAAAGTTTTCCTCAAGTAACGCCCGAGGTCAAGGCGAAAGTCGTTAATTTGATCAATATTATAATAGAGGAAGGGAATACATATTTTGAAAATTTAGTGCACACGTTAGAAAAATGCTACAAGTTCAACATTGATGATTACATAAACGATAATCACGTTCTACCGCCGAAAGGGCTGGGTTACGTCGGACTGGCTCTAGTTTCAGTGCAAAAGTTATATGTTTTCCTTGGCGACCTGGCGCGGTACAAGGAACTCGTAAATGAGACCAACAACTACGCCAAAAGTAAACTCTGGTACACCAAAGCGCAGCAAATAAATCCCAAGAACGGACGACCCTATAACCAATTGGCGATCCTGGCGATATACTCAGTGAGTAATATATTTAAATGCACAATCGTTCGAAATTTGATCTTATCGCTGATATCTTAAGATTTAAATTCATTTTATATATGTACTATATTTTTTGTCAATAAATCTGTGAAAGGCAATTGACTATTTCTAAACTTTTTTATTGACCAACTAAAAGTTATTAAAAAAAAGAAGAAGAAAATTGGTTGACAAACATTATACATGTTTATGTGTAGGTATATATATATATATATAGTCATTTGATATTTGTCTCTTTATTCGCGAAGATGACCGAACGAGACCACGGCCACCGTGAGATACGCCAACGATAAAGTTATATTGCATTAACAATCATTGAAACTGGAACGCGTTATTAGTTTATGAGAATTAGACAAGACAGTGATATTAACTTAGGCTGGCTCTCAACTCATTCTACAATCAGTGTTCAACAGTTGATTCCAATAGGGTTACATGTTAGGAAACAATCGCATATTCATCTTCTGACTTCATAAACGGCTGAAAGTATCTTAGCGTATAAGTTCATCAATTCTTTTCAGTTATCGATTTCAGCTCTCATTGAAAATTGTAATTTGGTTTCAGAGAAGAAAACTGGACGCCGTGTACTACTATATGAGAAGTTTGATGTCATCGAACCCTTTTCAATCTGCCAGAGAGAGCTTATTGTCACTTTTCGATGAAAATAGAAAAAAGGTGACCAAATATTCTAGTAGAGCGTTCGTTTATTAATTAAAAAAATATTTAGACAAAGTATATATAATATGTTAATTGTCATTATTACATTAGATATGATGTGAAGTAAAGTTTTAGTGGTTATTTGCTAATTTGTTAAGTGTACTATAAATCAAAAAGGTTTTTGTTCAAGTAGTCGCTTTTACTTCATTATAACTTTACAAGCTATTCGGAATGCCTAAGAAGAATCAAGAAATTTAGGGCGTGATCTTTTCTAAACGTATGTTCACCGCACAAAATTTACAAAGTATTATTAAACCAGTGAATGAATTAAAAATTATGGTGAATTTCTTTGGACACGTTTCGCGACGAGATGGCCGGTAGAACGAGCCCATAGAACGCCTCGTTGTACAGGGAAGCGTTGATGGTACAAGACCGCGCCGGAGGCCACCAATGCGCTGGACCGACCAAATTAAAACTGCAGTGGGAGGTCCCCTAAATGAGTGCAGTAGAATGGCCTCGAGCAGGGAGAGATGGCGCGACATCGTGAGACGCATCAAGTCTGCCCCTTCCAACACTACATGACGATCACGACCACTCTATCAAGTGACACGACTGAGAAGAAGAAGAAGAATTAAACCAGTTCATAATATATGTATTAAAGATGAACTAGGAGAAATAAGTTTCCTTTGTCGAGCAATCGGCTTAAAGAGCACAGCAGCACCGTTAACAAATAATTTTGTTACATTGATTATCTTGAAATCGATACCAGCTCCTAATCCCACTGAACGATATAATCGATTATACAGAATCGTATGTATACTCTAGGCCAGGGGTCGGCAACCTGTTTGTCCTTAAGGGCACAATACTAAATTTGAAAATCACCGAAGGCGCATATTTTACAGATAATCAACAGGTATAAATAGGCATTTAAAAAAAACAGATTTTTGAAAACTTTATTTTGTTGGTGTCATACATAATGATACGTATAATTCAGTGTGAGACTGGGGTGTCCATATTTTCAGCTAATTTCTTATAATTGGGGATATATTTAGAGTTCCGGTCCTTAAACAATTATCTAAATGTGAGTCATTAAGCTCTGTTCGGTATTGAAAGAAAAGAATTATTTCGGATTACTTGGTAGTTTTAAATGCTCGGTCTACGTGTGGTCTATTCGAAATACGATCACACACTAACAAAAAATACGTGCGTGTAATTAGATACGCTCAAGGTTAGCAAACTGCTAATCTATGCACAATCCTAAACTCAACTGACTACTTGCTGTATATCGCCGTTTGACAAGAGTAAGTAAATCGCTCTGCCTATCATACATTTTCATTAGTCCAGCGAGGGCGCATTCAAAATCGATCGGAGGCGCCGCGTTGCCTACCCCTGCTCTAGGCAGTAGTTGAATCTTTAACTTTTGTAAGAATACATAATAACTGAAGAGTAGAACATGTTAATAAGGTTAATAAAAAATGAACTTTTCGCACGGGCTATCACACTGTTTGTTAACAGTTTTGAAATCGGCTTTTTTGTTATCAGAGATTAAGTCTTTTTCCCTACTCTGTATTCATTCTTGAATATCGCGAGGAAATTAGTTCCGAAGATCTGGCGGATCGCGAAAGAATTTTCAGAGTTGCAAAAATTTAAATGCGACGTTTTTTTAGTTCGTCGATCATTTCGAGGCATTTTGTCCTTAAACCGTATCAAGCGTACACCCATACTATCTAGATTATCAATATCGCTTAGCTCTGTATTAAAATCAGCCTTTTTATGGCAACATTTTTAAACAGTATGAAGCGGCTGAACGTAAAAGGCGTGCAGCAATAGAAAAAGCGAAAAGCAGCGGCACTGAAACTGTAGCCGGCACCGGAGGCGGCACCGGCGGCGACGGCGGGCGGCGCGAGGTGTGGCTGCGGCCCGGTGACGTCACCGCCACTCCGCGACAACCTGTCATCGACGAGCAACTGTCCACGATGACTTCTGTTGAGGTAACTGTGTCTCTTACTAAGATGCACGCGGACAGACGATCTATAGAACTCACTAATTGATTATTGAGTCATTTCGTGAGGGCAACATTAATTTGAACAAATTGTTAGTCTCAGTTTAATAGTAGTAGTAATTACGAAGAATTCATGGTTTAAATTTAATTTTTTTTTGTTTGCTATAACATCTTATCTATAGTTCCGCTTTTTTTAAAGTTATGCTTACACAATTTTTTTTTTCTTACAGTTGAACAAGAGCTTTATAACGAGCTATTTACATGTTCACGGGAAATTAATAACAAAAATAGGGTGAGTGATTGTGCTTTTCGTAAAATTTATTACTGTATCCGAGTTGATAGTAGTTTAATTTAGTGTTTAAAAAAATATTTGTTAATGTAAATCGAAATCTATTTTGTCTACTTTATTTCTTCTAGCTGTACTTAAAATTAAAACTAAACGTAAACATATTTACTACATGCATTTAGTATGACCATTTAACACGCGACTTTCAGTTTTTCATTTAGATTATTATTAGTTTTATCATTAGGATTCCGGAGTTTGTATAAACATAGAACAATAATAAATTTGGCCACACCGTCTGCACGGGCATAATACGCGTGAGACCGTCGGCACTCTATATATGAATGTACTCAGAATTGACCAACAAAATGAATTACTGAATTGGCAAACGATCGGGGTTAAAATAAAAGAGTAATAGCTCGCGCGTAATTATTAGCGTAATATGAAAATAAATGACGAAAGTAAAATCAGGGTTCCACTATTGTGTTATTCAACTTTATTTATCGATACCAGAATGGAAACCTTTCACGAAAGTGCCGGCCTCATGTTGCGGCAGTTCCGCACGCTGTTGCACCGACAGCCCCTGCCGATGCCGGCCGCCAGACTCCTTCAGTTGACCGCACTCAACATGTTTGCAGTTGAGACGACCGGTTCCACATATAAAGGTAACGTTAATTTTTACGATAGAATAATAACATCATGTTCGCTTATCTTGTGCTTCAGAATTATTATAATGGTATGTGTGTGTCAATTGTCTACAAAAGCAAAAAAAAAAATCCCGTGTGGGCTTATACAGGGTGTTCCAATAAAATTGTTTTACTTTGAATATCCCGCCATTTTAACAGTTGTCATGAATCAAGCTGTTCAACCAATGTTTCAACAAAGCATTAAAAGTTCACTCCCAAAAATGTGAACATTTCGCGGTCACAGTTTGCAAAACTAAAGCATTTCTGGATCATCGCAAAGCACCAATTGTGAATTTTGTGGAAAAACATGAAGTCCTGCGTCAAGTTTAGTGATGTGAAGAATTTAACTCTAACGCGTCGACAACGGAGAATATTGCTGTTGCGGCCTATAGTGTTGAGGAATACCGAGATTTATCAATTTCTCGTCGATCTTTAGAATTGGCATTCCACAAATGATATTACGCGGCTACGCCGTATCTATACTAATATTATAAAGAGGAAAGATTTGTTTGTTTGTTTGTTTCGAATAGGCTCCGAAACTACTGGACCGATTTGAAAAATTCTTTTTCCATTAGAAGCCGACATTGGCCCTGATGAACATAGGCTACTTTTCTTAAAAAAAATTTTATTTTATTTTTTTGGTTTCATGTGTGTTTTAATGTTTCCGAAGCGAAGCGAGGGCGGGTCGCTAGTTTTTCATAAAGACATAGATCTTAAGGCTTTTAAAGTTTAGTTCAAATTAAGTCTTTGAAATGCATCAAACTGAAACGGAAATTAATCGCAATGGGCATTGGAAAACAGGGTCATTGGACCTTGCTTTTTCGAAAATGAAGCTGGAGCAACTGTTACGGTTATCGAACAATGATTTTGTATAACCGTAATTGAAAGATATTGATCTGGGCGACGTTTATTTCCAATAAGACGGCGCTACGTGCAACAAAAGTAACGATACCATAGCTCTTTTAATGAAAAGTTTTCTGACCGTGTGTTTTGGAAGAAATGATAAGAATTCCCCACCGAGATCTTGTGATTACCACTTTTTCACTTTTTTCTTTGAGCCTACGCCAATTCATACACTTTATCTTTCTCGTAGCCTACAATCGATTATAATCGAATCGAATCGGGCTATAATCGATTCAAGGCCACAAAGATGTCCGAATTTGCGATGGATTTTTTTATAAAAAAAACTTTGTCCTACAAGTGTAATGATCACGTTGGTCATTTGACTGATTTTGTTTCCCATTATGAATGGCACACCATCCTTTTTACAATTAAATAAATATCCTATGATATCACTTACAAATAATCGTTTTTTTACATATGAAAATGAAACCTATCATTGGATGACCCTACCACGACTAATTACGGTAATATTGAAGATATGCTGCATATATAATTTCTATTATATATTAAGAGATTTATTAATAGATATAGAGATAGATTAAAAATTTTTAAATTGTAATATTATGGTGGTGTTTATATTAATAATATGACAATTTTAGGCAATGATTCCGGTAATAAAAATTCAGTGTATTTATTACTGTTAATTTGTATTACACGTATTACGTGGTACTCATATTAATGTTTTTCTAAATTATCAATTTATTAAAAACGATATTCAAATGTTAACATGTAACAAAATCTTAGTCGTCCGTAAGTGACCATAAAGTGTTTTCGGATAATATTTATAAAGAGCTCTCAAAGCTTACAAAAACTATAGAATGTATCAAATCCATGGTAACTGTTCAACGTCTTCCTGTAAATTTTAATAGCAAAAGATCACACCCAGGGGACGGCAATTTACGTAATAGTCGTAATGTACCTACCTACAATGCTTTCTTGCCTATGCTTGGCGTAATGGATAGACGACGCACATTTTTTCTGCAAAATTCACACATACATACATACATTATACATACAATACAACAATACAACCTGTATTATAATGTAGTTTAATATATTAAAATAAATCAAGAATTGAGTACCCGTTTTGTATATTGTTCTTTATCGTGGCATTACAGTATGTCTCTGTATAGTCGTATTGCAATATGTATTAAGACGAAATGTATCTTGTGTTAATATTTATACGTTTAATTATTACAAGGATGTGTGTGGATGGCCTTATGACGTAATGTATAATGTTAAAATTAATTATATACCTAGCCTTAACAACTGTAGAAGTTGTGCTGTTATATTAAAAACTCAGGACGGCAGCACATGAAGATCATCATTCATTTTGTACACGTAAGACAAAGCACATATGGTCGTGGGGTAAAAATAATATTTTTTAAATTAAAGCTTTATTATGTGTATAATTCTATAAAAACAACGGTATTCCATTCCATTAGGTTCATATCTAGCACTTATAATTAAAAAAAAAGGTGAGCTGCGCTGTCTGGTTGCAGTAACCCGGGGTAAGGTACCCCACCCGGGTTCTGACCCCGGGTGTATCATACGCCTGGGCGAGAGTGCAGGGGAGACATTCAGTGGGTAGGGTCCTAAATTCCATCGCTTGGGCCCGCGGTTCCCTCCTAACACCTGCGCACCGTCCAGGCCCACACTTCGCGCGCGCCTCCTAGCCGCGAGCATCTCGCAAGAGGTTCGGCCCTCGGCCCAAAAAAAAGGTGCATGTGTCTACCGATCGATGATATGACTTCAAAGGAACCTGAGGTACTACTGTGCTACTAATGCCATACAGACAACACGATCGACGGCTTACCTAAAACCTATTAATCTATTTGTTTTAAAATTATAACGCATTAAAACTTACGTTATTATGATACATTAAAAGCAAAAACATATATCTAATAATAGACGAGGCAAATTAAATTAGATTTTACATTTTACACAGTACATTTTAATCGGGTGCAAAACTTATTTAACTCTCATCTTGATGAAATCAATAATAAAACTGAAGTTATGATTGTATTCGTTTCCTGTCGTTCCGACGGCGCACAGTGAAGTAATNATTAAAACTTACGTTATTATGATACATTAAAAGCAAAAACATATATCTAATAATAGACGAGGCAAATTAAATTAGATTTTACATTTTACACAGTACATTTTAATCGGGTGCAAAACTTATTTAACTCTCATCTTGATGAAATCAATAATAAAACTGAAGTTATGATTGTATTCGTTTCCTGTCGTTCCGACGGCGCACAGTGAAGTAATTACAAATTACAAGTTATCGGAGGTTGATGCACCGAGCTCCCGGTCGGCTGCCTACCGCGCCCGAGCACCGCACAAATGCACACATTTCACGGGAACAGGTTCAACAAACTGACTCCGCGACGCCACGGTGACGAACGCTTTTACTCCATTACTTGTAATGTTGTTTTGGATTATTATAGAAAAATTATGGCGCCCGAGACCCTTCATTAAATCGTTGGGTAAGGCGTTGCCCTTTAGTATTATGTAGCGCGCGATATTCTGAGAAAGATTGCCGATAAGCATATTTATTACAAAGACCTGACAAAACGTATATAAAAACATATTAATTATATATATTAGGGTTTACGTACTTTACACCTTTATATTTCTTACTTTTCTTTCTGTACTCTTGAAAATGATTTCCCCCTTTGCTTGCTTTGCATAGAAACTATAAAACCGATGAAATATTTTCAATTGTGTGCTTTCATAAAATGTTCTGATGTATGTTATAAGTCAGCGGTCGGGGAACTTTTTTAATTATTACCCCTAAATATTTTTGTGTAAGTTTCCCCATGGCGAAGAACAAAAAGAAACGAAATAGCTTCTTTTTAGTATCCTTCGTATTATAGCCCCCATGATAATTTTGAAAAGAAAACAATTACTAAAAATTTAACGATTCCAAAGAAATTTCACTACTATATTATTTTTTTACTCACAAAAGTTTCATTTTTACCCCCCAATATTTCATTCATATTTGGGGTAATTTACCCCGGTTCCCCGACCGCTGTTATAAGTAAAATAATTTACAAAAATACGATTACCCACGTAATGTGTTTGCATGTAACACATCGAGATAGTTGTAGAAGGTTTTTTTTTATAAGGCGTTTAAGTAATTGAATGAATTTCGCGGCCTAGTACGACTGAGAAACATAGGTTTATGTGAGTTTTTAAATACATTGCACGAACCCCATAATAAGATAAGAGACACGGCTTACCCGGTTATTTACTATGATTGTAGGCGTGTTGCATTTGCAGGTGCATGCACGTATGTTTGTGTGTATTTTTAGACGATTCTATTTATACGGGACCGGCTCGGAACCCCGATGACTTGTCAGTGTATGATCCAATAATGGCAGGGTTTGTCAGTTGATCTCGAAATTCAATATCTGCATCCTGTCGTAGAACTTAAACAAATAAAATCATCGTTCTTTGGTTGCTGTATCACTGCGCTATTGAAATGTAATGTTCTAATTTTGTAATTACGATAATACGAGTAATAACATGATGTGCACATAATGACGTTGATTCATCTCGGTTATCACAAGTGGTAAACATGAAAAAAATTAGTTTAAAAATGCTATTTTAGTATATAAATCTAATAATGAATTATTGAAATTGTTCGATTTGGAGTTCCCTGGAAAAGGAACCTAGATTTAATAAAAACGGTGAATTGAAAAATAATATTTTTTAATATTATGTCCTCACGCATTATACATGGGACGAAGCTTTTTTTTTTTAAAGTACCTACCAAAATTTTAAATTCGTTCCATTCTGGAAAACTTAATATATTAACTTCTAGCGTTATAACGTGTTAATGGACGTGTCAATGGACACGAGATTAAAGCGCCTGTGATAATAACGCTTTCGTTGTAATGAGCAACATAATAGATTAAGATAAAAATAGATTTAAATGAAAAATAAATACAGGAAAAGCTTCGTAATTCTTGTTATGATTTTGTAGATACGTAAATGTCTTATACAAATGTTTGTGCACGAATATTAATTAATTGAAACAGTCCGATTCCGGTTGTTGCTGATGGTTTTTCGATTAATTCAAACTGCTTTGTGTGATGTAAATTAGTCTCACGATCGTTCGCATATAGTGTTTGCTCGTAAACCTAGACATTGCTGTCGATTATTGTACGCACGATTGCTTCGTCAGTATCTGTTTTCTTTTTTTTTACACTAGAGTTTTGAATTCATACGTACGTTTTATGTTATTATGATTCTTGCACGGAATCGATAATGTTTTGTTTATTATGTTGCGAATACGATTAATTCTCACCTGTTGTAACTTATGCGCGCGTCTTTAGTGTTTAATGTAGACAATGTAAAACATACGGTCTCAAAAATTCAGATCATAGCTGTTGTGTTATGTATGTTGAATTTCAGAAACTCTACATGATTCTGATTATTAACCATAAAATATTTTTAGTAACAAAAGTATTATAATAGTACTAGGATTCTAAATTACATACATAGTAAATTTGTTCCGTAAATCTGTCTTATTAAAAATATTTTTTGGGAGGTAACATTGATTCTTGTTTTTATGACCACTAACATGCCGATAATTATATGTCGTTTTCGTTAAGCGCATTCTGTTGTAGTGTGAATTAATTAGTTAATAAAACATTGTTATTTAACAAACAATTGTAGGCAGGAATTTAACTTGTCATACTTTAATATTTTTTAGGTAATAATAAATTCTGATTTCACGTAACGAGTAACGCGGTCTGTTCTGCATTGATCCTATCATATCTTAACATATTTTTAATAAATATTTAGTGATTAGCCATCCGGACCCCAATTAAAATAATCTAAAAACTGATGATTCTCAGTGATTCTGTCGGATAAAATTTATTAAGACATTGACGTTTTCTCGGCAAATAAACGTCATGCTTTCCTTTTCCTTCGTACTTCTGCATTAGGTATTCTACAGGCGATATGATTCTCAAGGTCACTAGAACCTGGCTTGGAGCAGGTTAGTCGACCTTCCACCAACCGCGTGATGTTAGCGTTTTTCCCACCCTGGAAACCGGAATGCATTACTGCTTCGCAGCTGTATAGCAGCCTTGTGGTAACTACCCGTGCCAGTTAAAAATGCGCCCTATCAATTAATAATATAGTCATCTACTTAGTGCAATAGATAGTATAAAAATACATTATTAACACCAATTACATCGCGCATACTCATATTTGTCTAATCATTTTGTATCGTGTTTAATCTATGGTTACCTAGTAGTTTGTTTTAGACGCAAATGGCGTCATAACGTTCGGCCAAATATAATAAAGTTTGCTGCAATTCGTAAAATGAAATTTGTGCTATTGTCTGTTAGGTAGTAATTTAAATGTAGCTAATGATTGTTGGGTGTACATAAGTAGATATAGTGTTTGATTTTGTTGACAGGCTGTTCCGGTGCAGAGAGACCAGCCTGGTTGGAGTGCGCTCTCGGCGTATCCTTGCTCATGTTCGGAGCGCTCGTGGAAAGATGCTGTGCGTTATTGCCGGAACCAACTCACACCCAGCACCACGCTGATGCCCTGCAGCTATTACCCTCGATAAAGGTATTACGCTATAGCTACGCCACGTACCTATCAATGCGTGCCTAAGAATTTACGATCTCGTCGTTGTCAAACGAAAATCGGCTATGTGCACTTTTTGAGATTTTTACTTTTTGACGTTTTCGTATCACAGGTTCTTCCGTATAAAAAAAAACTGCTATGTGTCCATAGCTTTAATATTTATCTATAGCTTTCATTTGATATAGTTCTTAAAAATTCACCTTCATATAAAATTTTATACGAAAATATTTTTACTCGTTAATTCAAAATAAAGTTTTTGCACATAGCAGATTTTGGTTTGACAGCGACGATGTGTAATATAGAATGTAGAAAAAAAAAAAAGAGTAATGTTTAAAAGCAACAACTCATAAAACTCGTTCAGCCAGTCTAGGTAGTTAGGCATTACAAATAACAACACAAGGTTGTAATTTATAATAACCCTTTTCCGTTGGTGGTTCATAAAACAATATGAATCTCAGGCAGTAATGTTTGGTATGTAACGAGTATATTGGACCGCTTTATAAAATCGATTTACGATTTATGTTATGATTTATTCATAACGTCATTACATATAATGCGAGCTTTTATGTATATTTTTTGCAGGTGTGGTCCGACTGGATGCTGTGTCACAGTAGTGTCTGGAACCCACCGCCTTCCTTCACCAATTTCAACGTAGAGTAAGTATATATATATTTTTAAGCAACCAAGCCTGTATCGATTATCCGTATCGATTAATTTATAATAAATAATTATTTATTAATTGTTTTTTGTAGACTCGAAAGCGACTCATGGGATTGGTTAGCGAAACTCATGAACATACTCGAAATATTAGACGATAAAACGATAAAATTGGAAAACGAAATCAAAGAAGGCAAGTATGAAACTCGGAATAACATAAACTTATATTAAGTTAGCTAACAAAAACCTTGGCTTCAGGTTGCCTAAAAGATAACTTTAAAAAGGTTGGTAGGCAGCGGCTTGGCTCTGCCCCTGGCATTGCTGAAGTCCATGGGCGACGGTAACCACTCACCATCAGGTGGGCCGTGTGCTCCTCTGCCTACAAGGGCAATAAAAAAAAAATTTAAATATCGTAGGTATATTAAAAATATATATAAAGTATTTTTTTGTAACTCGGAGGTGTTGAAATGCGGTTTACCTGTAAATAAATAGAGACGTTGACAATTATAGTGTCACAGCGACTAGTGCACATAAAAAGTTTGATATCTTTACTTAATGCTGTTGTTATGTGGTTAATCCTGTAAGTGTAATTGCAAAATAAGCAGAATTAAATGACTCCCATAAAAACTTTTTTAATTGTATCAAGTTTTTTGGAATATTAAAGGCTACAAGCGGTGGAAGGAAGGCTCTCGCCATAAATATCGCATAAAGATAAGTTTTCTAAAGCAACCGTTACTCGTGCATCGTTAGTACGCGATTATGAAGGTTGCGGGAATCCGACAACGACCAAAGTCGATACGATTTAATCGTTTAAAGATAAAATCGATTTGTTTAAAACAAAAATATGCGTATGAACTTGGCCACACTTCAAAGTATTTAGTAGCTTTGTAACATATGTTGTTAGCGTAGGTTGTTATAATAGTTATTATCGATATATAACATCAGTGGTTTTTTAAATATATTTTTTTATGGAATATTTCGCGGCATAAGCACTGATCTACTTTTAATTTTTTATTGGGGACATATGTGAACAAAACAATATTGAAGTTGTAGTCTAGTCGACAATTTGAAAATGGTACAAAATAGAGATACACTGCTCTTAAAATTATGTGCGATAGCTCATTGGATCCGGAATGACGCCTAGAAAAATGTGCCAAAAGTGTGTATTAGCACATAAAAAATTGCAAAAGTTATAAACAATTAAAGATGAAAAAAAAAATGGCATTTCGTTTTTTGCCAATATTTCATAAACTATTAATATTTAAGAAATAAAAAAAAAAAGGTTCTGAAAGAGGAGGAAATTTCCAATAAAAACTCCTATCTCCCGGAACTCTATCTTCATTTTTTATAATTTTAATTTAACGCTGAAAATAGACCAGCGCGCGACATTTTTAGGTTGCGCGCGTGGCGTCAAAAGCGAGTACAAGCGAGCGATTTTCTCGTCGGATCTTCTCAGTGGGTTGCGATTCCGATCTGGTGGTAGATAGCTAGGGTTAGTGTTAACAACGTCGTCAGGTTTGAGCCCCGCGAGCTCGCCTATGGTTTATTTTCTGTTACTTGAAACTTTTATTACCGTAGTGTATTTTAGTTTACACGCTAAAGACTGCGTTGAATTTATACCTATGGTATACCGCAACACAAACGATAATAATACAAAAAAACAATATGACTCCAAACTTACTGTGTTTAATTTAATCACATAACTTTGCTCTCCATTTCATTTGAATACCATAATAATATTTAAAAAGTATTGGCGAGAGAATGAGAAAATAATGAATATTCATGTGAGAGTAACAGGTTCCAAATTCAAATGTAATTTTGCTTTATTTATTTATTGGAGCATTTTTTTAGTATTCGTTGCCAGACTATATAGGGACACGATAACCAATTACAGCTTGAAACGCTAAGATCATTGATATATTTTATTATTTTATTGCATTACTGTTTCACCGATGAAATGGACAGGGCGGTATTACCCACCCGTAGGGGCTCACAATACTCCGTACCACCAGTAATTACGCAAATTACATTTCTTGTGGGTTTGATTTTTATTTACCATGTTATTACTTTAACGTAGAAGTCTTCGTGAACATTTGTTAAGTGCGTATTTCATTTTAAAAAATGGCATGCAGGATTCGTACACCGGCACAGTCGCATCGGTCGATACGAATGCAACGGATACGCTTATCTTCGAATCTGGTCCCACAGTTCTAAAGTAGGGATATGTGTACTATAGAAAGGCACTGTTAGAAATAGCAACTAATTTGCTTCACTGGCACAGACAAAATAAATTATAATCATAAACTTTTTGCAAAACAATAGACGCGTTTTAACAAGGTTTGCTATTTTAGTGGCAGTTTATAATATCCTATCTACTACTAGAACACCTGACTGGCGTTTATCTAGAAAATAATGTATTTCCTGGGGAAAGTATCTTTTTCGGTATGAAGGAAATGTTATTTTTTGTACCTCTGTCAGCGTGTCTGTCGAATTTCACTATGATCGCTCAAATAGTTGAAACGTGAAAGCGTTACAAACAAACAAACTTTCGGTTTTAAAATATGGTTACCTTTTTTTTCCTACCTAGGCTGATAGCCTTGAGAGGCTATTTCAGCGTAACCTTAACTAGTAGGTTCACAATGGGCCTTATGAGAAGGCTCAAGGTCACCCAAAGAGCAACAGAGAGGGCTATGCTCGGAGTTTCCCTGCGAGATCAAATCAGAAATGAGGAGATTCGCAGGAAAACCATGGTAACCGACTTAGCCCAAAGAATTGCGACATTGATGTGGCAGTGGGCAGGACACATTGCTCGTAGAACGGATATCTATAAATTCATTGATATTTTTTTTACTTGAATGTGTTCACGAATTCGCAATGATCTCGTAGGCTACGTNAGGGCTATGCTCGGAGTTTCCCTGCGAGATCAAATCAGAAATGAGGAGATTCGCAGGAAAACCATGGTAACCGACTTAGCCCAAAGAATTGCGACATTGATGTGGCAGTGGGCAGGACACATTGCTCGTAGAACGGATATCTATAAATTCATTGATATTTTTTTTACTTGAATGTGTTCACGAATTCGCAATGATCTCGTAGGCTACGTCTGCATCCGTTTGGCGGAGGACGCGTCGTTGGGCGGGTTCACTCCGCTCATGTACATGGAGCCGGACAAGGCGTGGGTGCCCCCGGATCCGTCCGCGCACAATCACGCCGCGGAACACGTACTGAGGATCAGGAAGCTGCTCTTCTTCGGGACCGAGTAAGTTTTCCCGTGTACCATATGCTACTTACATGTCGAGAAGTGAAAGGCTATTCGGTTTAAGCAACTTCGCTTAATAGGCGACATTTATATTTGTAATTAAAGGTGCGTTTTATTTAGTATTAGCAACAACAGTTCGATGTTTTTAATTGAACTTCAATTAAGTTTACTCAATTGAAATAGCTGAAGCAGTTTTTTGGTGTTTTTTTCAAAGTTTAAACTTTATTTTTAGCGAAATTCTTGGAACTTTACAGGAGAGCCATTGTCCTGTAAAGTTTCAAGAATTTCGCTTAAACAAAATAGTCTTTCGCCTCTCGATATGATAAAACATTGTTTAATAACATGTCATGTACAGGTGCGCTTTCACTAACCTCGTGCGTCAGTTCACTTTTACTATCGTTACATTGCGTACAATGCTTTAACGCAGCCTTTCCCAAAGTGGGCGATAACGCCTCCTTGTGGGCGCTGCAGGCCTAAAGGGGGGCGGTAAGAGACCCAGAAAAAAAAAGTGGCGTTGTGTAGAAGCTTGGGAGGAGATTTGAAATTTCATCTAGCATGACTCTTAAATACCGACTTAGCTCTCGCTAAAGTGGTTTTTAATTAGGTGAAAAAAGGGGGGAGTTCAAAAATAATTTATTCTCAAAGTGGGCAGTGGGACAAAATAAGTTTGGGAACCCCTGCTTTAATGCAATGAAAAAATAACAAACTGGAAATTATGTTAATAGGAATAGTACGAAAAGGGTTTTTTTTTTTTTTTTTTATTGCTTAGATGGGTGGACGAGCTCACAGCCCACCTGGTGTTAAGTGGTTACTGGAGCCCATAGACATCTACAACGTAAATGCGCCACCCATCTTGAGATATAAGTTCTAAGGTCTCAGTGTAGTTACAGCGGCTACTCCACCCTTCAAACCGAAACGCATTACTGCTTCACGGCAGAAATAGGCAGGGCGGTGGTACCTACCCGTGCGGACTCACAAGAGGTCCTACCACCAGATTGCAAAGTAGGCAAACGCTGAAAAACCTATGGAGTATCGAAATTTCGAAAATAGAAAATTTCAAGACTCTCAGGCATGCTAAAGAAACATTCGGTTAATATCATTATTATTTTTCGGTACCCTCTGTATTTTGTACCGTATGTTCCATGGGGAGTGCTCTGAGGAATTGTTTGAGATGATCTCCTCATCTCCTTTTTATCATCGCACCTCCCGCCATCGGAGCAGAGTTCATCCATATTATCTGGAGCCACTGCGGTCATCCACAGTGCGTTTCCAAAGGTCTTTTTTGCCACGTACCATCCGGCTATGGAATGAGCTCCCCTCCACGGTGTTTCCCGAGCGCTATGACATGTTCTTCTTTAAAAGAGGCTTGTGGAGAGTATTAAGCGGTAGGCAGCGGCTTGCCTCTGCCCCTGGCATTGCTGAAGTCCATGGGCGACGGTAACCACTCACCATCAGATGGGCCCTATGCTCGTCTGCCTACAAGGCAATAAAAAAAAACACAAGCTCTTTAATTCCATACCGTTATTGAATGTTCTCATTACAAAGGTATCTGGTCGGTGTGGAGCCTCCGGTGCTGCGCTTGGAGTACCCCACTGACGCCCCGCCGCGGTACGTCAGCGCAGTGCAGAAAACTAAACCACAACACCAGCCGCTGCAACTCTTGGTATGGACACTTTGTATACAATAATGCATTGGTGTTATAAGAGAAGCTAATCATCATTCATCATCATTATCCTGCCCTTCTCCCAGTCATCTGGGGTCGGCGTAACATGTTTTCTTCTTCCATACTCTTCTATCATCATCCATTTCTTCTTAGGTCTACCTCTTCCTCTATATCCTTCCACATTCATAGTTAACATTCTCTTACCAACCTCATTTTCATTTCGTCTCATCACATGTCCATACCATCCCAAACGCGCACTTTTCAGCTTCGCTGTCACAGGTGTCACTTTCAGACTTCCTCTAACATATTCATTCCGTATTCTATCCGTTCTCGTTACTCCACATATCCATCGCAACATTCGCATCTCTGCTGCATGCAATCGCCTTGCTAAGAGAAACTAATACAGATTACTAAATTACGAAAAAATCTTCTTACTGACATGTTTCATTATTAGTGTGTTTATCGGCGTAGATACTTATTCGCTACCTATTCGCTAGATAGCTATACTGAGTGTAACTATACTGAGACCTTAGAACTTATATCTCAAGGTGGGTGGGGGCATTTACGTTATAAGATGTTTATGGGCACTGGTAATTACTTAACACCAAATGGGCTGTAAGCTCGTTCACTCATACATGCAATAAATAAAAAGTAGCCTAAGGGGCTATTCCAGCTATGAGCGAGCGAGTAGGTGAGCTCGCGGGCTCAACCTGAGAGAATTTGCTAACGCTAGCCCTAGCAAGAGCAGCGCCTCGCAGAACTTACCACCGGACCGGAATAGCGACCCACTGATGAGATCCAGGGAGAAACTCAATGGGCTGTGTCGGTTGGATAGGGTGTTAAACATTATTATCGATAAACAATAACGATTTTTTTTGAATTCTGTCTTAAGACTGAATATCGCTAAGATGTAGACTCGAGTTCGATAAGGCTGAAATAATGACTAGATCCTACTCTCTAAATCGGCATTAGCATTAGCGGTACTAACATTAGCAATTATTACTAATTATACATTGATGTGCCTTTGGAAAACATACAGCATTGTATTATGAAGAAGCAGTGTGTACTTAGCTTAGATTCCTTGTCTATGTCCAACCATAGACAGTCAATTTAGTTCCATCTTTAGCCGCTAGGTGCTGCCAGCAAGTATAAAGGGAGCGCAGCCATCTTTGATCTTCATAGCGTTGTGTACTTTCGTACTGTGAAGTCGC